TTAACATTCAATCCCCTCCCTCCCCCCATTTTCGCCATCCTGTAAATTAATTTTATTGCGAAAAATATTACCACAACCAGGATTCGAACCTGGGACCTCCCTCAAATCCTGGTTGGGGTAATATTTTTCGCAATAAAATTAATTTACAGGACGTGGAAAATGGGGAGAGGGAGGGGATTGAATGTTAAATATAGCATCAGAAAAATGCGAATTGCATTTGAAAAATAATCATCGAATCGAATACGTGAATCTGCTGACGACAATATTTCCACGTATATGGTAAACTGCGTTATGTCCGGAAAAGAAATCGGCGCGTAGTACTAATGTGGAAAGAAACGGTACTTATATAGATTCACGACTTTCAAAAAGATTTAAGATTTACAAGTTGGGCTACCTACATCTTGCCTTGTGACCCACATTGGCGTGTTATCATATATTGTTTCGCTTTAGATAGGGGTCTTACTTGAAAGTTACTTGTTAGAAAGTATTATGATTGTGTGTGTGTGTGTGTGTGAGGGAGTGTGAGTGTGAGTGTGAGTGTGAGTGTGAGTGTGTGTGTGTGTGCGCGAGTGTGTGTGAGTGTGTGAGTGTGAGTGTGTGAGAGCGTGAGTGTGTGTTTGTATGCACAGCAGAGTAGACACAGCAGAGATGAAAACGTACATATATGTATATACTTATGTACATACGTATAAATTTGATAAAATAATAAGGTCAAAAGAAATAAATAACTTCTATAATTACCTCAATTAGCCGATGTAAAAAAGTAAAGTAAGGTAATCTTTTTACTCTAAAAAGAAATTTATTTTAATTTATCGGTAAGGTGCAATACGAAAATTGTAGTTATAAAGAAATAATAAAATAGCGTACAAAAATAAAACATGCCTGTTACTTTAAAGAAAGTCTGAAAGTAAATAAAATCCTAATATTTGATTTGTGTCAATGGTTTAAGGTTCTACTGTACGTTAGTACGGTCTTTACCCAATGTGATAAACCTGTCGTGGAGGAGACATTATATCCCTCGGAAATCGATTGGAAGAAAGCAATTAAAATCGCAGAGTCCTGCGACGAGCATCTTCTCAAAATATTAACAGCCAAGTAAGTTGAAAAATGAACGGTGAATAGGGAATGTAACACATTATCAGTTTAAAAATAAAATTATTTCATTTACAGATACATGAAACATGTACCAAACACCTATCTCTTAAGTAAGATACTGGCCGAAAAAGTAATAGGCGATTATTCGACATCACTACCTTGCGTGATCGCAAGACCCTCAATCGGTACATACATATATTTTAATACTTATTTGCATTTTCTAATACATTATTATACTTACATTTACTTTTACCTTACTCAAGTTCCCTGGTTCAACGTTCTTATTAAAATTGATCTTATTAAACTGTTTGTAAGAATCGCTTATTTATATAAACATGTAAATAATTGTAAGCTATTTTATTTAAAAATATAAAGAAATCACCGATAATTTCTATCATAAATGAATTTGACAAAACATATTTCTTCATTGGTACTCACTAATTGTTTTGTGCTATTCTCTACCAATATTTAATCTTGTGAAATTTTTCTCCTTATTTTTCATCATATAGACATACAATAATTTTTTACTAATAGCTTGTGTTAGATACATGTTATATTACAGAAAATATGTAAAAAATATCATAAGTATGGCACATATATGTATATTAATAAATGAATGGATATGATTAAAAATCAATGGAAACAAAATTATTTTGACACAAAAATGCATCTGGGAAAACTTTAAATTATTAAAAACATTTTGGTATTTTTCAGTTGTTTCGACATGGAATGATCCTGTTGAGGGTTGGATAGACAACTTCAACGGACCGGTCGGATTGATAGTTGGTGGTGGTAAAGGTTTAATACGTGTAG